CTCCTCTTAGCTAGAAGGCGTTTCCGAGCCTCTTCAAGCTCGTACTTTTCAATGGCCTTCTTCCTTTCCGCTTTAGAAGCGGTTTTCCACAGTCAGGTGGTTTCGACGAACCTTTGTACTTCCTTGCCTTGTAACCTCCGGCGTCATAGTACGATGAATCGGTTTTGGGAATTAAGGTTTTTTCATCCGTGACAGGATCTATAACCTCAAGCAACGACAGGAGCATCGTCGACAAGCGCTTCGGGAAGTATAGGTGGTTCATCTGGCTCATACTCTTGATCAACAGCATGTTTCAAAACCTCCTGATCAACAAGTTCTTCGATATTCGCAGCTCTAACATCATCGATCGATGGTGGATTGCTTGAAATGGTGATGCCCGGTACAACCCTTCTCTAATCATGTTGTACCTGCCTTTACACGCAAAGTGTAACCCGATGTTGGGAACAGCGATCTGATGGACTCTCAATGGCTGGATCTCTGCACTGAAGTCTGACTCCATCACATCCTTCAACGGGAGGACCATGAACTCCTTTCTCCACACGAAGTTGGACTGAACGGCATACCCCAAAAAGATTCCAGGGTTTGACGTCGGCTCGAACCTGAGAGAGGATTTGGCCTTGCTCTTGGGGCCGATCCAGTAGTCAATCCTCAACCCAAAGGGAACCAAAGGGCCTTTAAACTTCAATATTGATGGTGAAGACCAGCTTGTTCCAGGTTTACTCTTGTCCCGTCGATAACGGACCTAATAGACCTTTCAGCCATGGCATTTGTCTTGGAAACATATCCAAAGCTGGTTTGATGCCTCCACCCCAATCTGTCAGCAGTAGCGATGAGTTCTGGTGAGTTGTCAGAGTAAAACACTCCAACCTCATCAGTGGATCGAATGAAATGTTTGAAGGCTGCGATGCATTCACGCGTCGATCGTCGTGCGGCCGGGTAGACATACCTGAAGTCGGTAGCTACATCCTTCACGACCAAAGCAACGCGTGCCCCATCTATATCCATTTCCTCATCGTCACGGATAACCAGATGGTCGGCAGTCAAATGTTGTCCAAATTGATCCGCTTCGACTTGAGTGGATCCGCCCTACCTTTCATCCACTGGTTCAGGCTCCTCTTCGCCAGGATCCTCACCAATCAATTTCTCATCGTCGTCGTAGACTTCGATCGCCTCTTCAGCCGGTGAAGCGGGCAGAGGAATCATGGGTCGTGGTCCCCCCGACCGTTGGCTTGTACCATAGGGTTGACCTATGGCGGACATCGCAACACCAGTTGTTGATGGCAGATATGGAACATAATCATCTACTTCAAGTTTAACCTTTGTCCCATCTGGTTTCTTGAAGTATGGCCTGCTATAAGCGGGCCAGTGGAAGCTCCATCCGGCATCGATGCAGTGTTGTCCCACAGACACGACAGCTGGACTGTCATCGAAAGGACGTACGGATTGATGTCATCACCCAAAATGGGAACATTGACTCTGGCTTGATCGGTTGCTTGGAAAACTCCGTTGGCAGTAAGAAGACTCACCGGAATGGGAGACTGTGACACCTCACCTGTATGAAGCATGTGCCTAGACACAAGATCGTGAGCACTACCAGTGTCAGCTATCCATGCGATCTCAGTGGCAGGCACTGACGGCGACGACCTCTTACCAAAACACTTTACACAACCAATGTCAGAGTTGCATAGGTACGAACATTCTGCCGGCAAGGACAAAAGCTCATTCCTGACAGCGTTCTGCAGATGCGAGGCCGCAATGGAAGCATCTTCAGTGGCGACTCGAACGGCTTCAACATATTCAGGGCGATCTGGTGTGAAACTTCTCCCTTTCTTCTTACTTCGGGGTTGAACAGATCTCCAACTGGAAGAAGACTCAACAGCATGACTAAAAACATTCGGTTGATCGTCAAAACGGACTTGCTGTCTAACAAAACAATGTTTTCTGTGTTGTCAAAATCGGTGCACATAGCGTTTGACGCGGAAAGGACCGGCATGGCCACGCTTCCCAGCGGGCGTGTGATGAGGACGGAGGATCCCTGAGAGACCACTGCGGCCATGACCACAGCGCGTAGGAGGCAGACCGCCGCCGGCGCATTAGAAGAAGAAGACTTTCCACCTTTTCTCCGCTGGCTCTCAGAGCCAGTTGAGTTGTCGGAGCCTGACGACCCTCGCGAACTGCTTCGCTTGCGAGGTTTCTTCTCTTTCTTCTTCTTCTTCTTCTTCTTCTTCTTCTTCTTCTTCTTTCTGTCCTCTTTCTTTGCGGGGGCAGTTTTCTCAGGGTGTTGGAATGCGCAATCTTTCCCTCGATGACAATGTCCTGCTTTCCAGAATTTGCAAGTCTCCTTCCGAGATCCTGGAGTCAGCGACCTTGCTCGAGACTGACTGCGATCCTTACCCTTTCCCTTTCCTTTGCTTTTCTCGCGGCCCTTTTCGTGCAAGGAAATGAAGATCCGCGCTTGCATTTTCCAGTCTTTTGGTAATCAAAGCACGCACCTTTCTTATCCTCTGGCGCTGGCACAACAACATCTTTGGCGCCGAGGGAGCGTTTGGTGGCATCCCTCATCTTTTCCAGCCTCTTTCTCTCGAGATATGCCCGAGCCGCGGTGATGAGAAAATCATAGGATCTCTCTCTGCTGCCTTCCGCAGCGCGGTCGTACAGGGCAAGATCATGCTCGAGAGGCTTGAAGCGCTTCACTGCTAAGTGAAAATACGCCTCCAGGACATTGTTTTCGGGCTCCTTCTTCATGCCCGCTAACACACTGTCCCATTGGTTGATGAATCCTTTCAGATCATCATTCACTATTTTGACCGACATGAGGTCTTCGAGACCGTAAATGGCGCCGTGCCGGATGCTTGTAGCGAAGTACTCGCGAAATCGGAGAAGCAAATGTCTCCCTTTCACAGGCTTCTTTTCGCGAGCACGCAACTCCTTGAAGGTTGCGATTTGACGACCGAGGTCCCCCTCAGCGCAATTCGTGAGGCTTGCAAGAAGCTTCGCGTCGAGGGTGGCAAAGCCCTCTGAATCATCAAGTGCCTCAATGGTTTGGGATTCATTGTACACTTTCCCAACCCAAGTTCTTGCATCATCTGGCTTGGCCGAAGCGGCTGCTATATTGTCCCTCACCTTAATCTTCCAGTCTCTGTACTTTTCAGGTGTGGGGAATTTGGGAATGAGAACCTTGTCGGCCTCTTCGGCCTTGTTCTCACGGTCCCTGTCTTTTGACTTTTTCTGCTGCTTCTTCAGCTCCTTCCTGATGATGCGTGCGAGACGCGACGACTCAGAGCTTGAGCCATTGGAATCATCATCTCCACTTGACGAACTGGATGAAGACGGAGATGGGGAAGGAGAGCGCTTCTTTCTGCGTTCTCGGGAACGGCCTCTCTTTGGGCTCTTGTCCTTCTTCTTCCCCTTTATCTTTTTCTTTTTGTCCTTTCCGGACCTGCTTTCATTTTCTTCATCCGCATCTGATGGATGTGGATCGTCATCGCCCGTGTTCCAGGGCTTCTCCAAATGAGCACGAAGACTCGCAGGAGGCAAAGCTGGGGACCCTTGAGATCCAAGTGGCTGTACTGACGGCACAGGCACTCGGTTCCCCGAGGCGTTGTCGAACCTTTCTCTTAGCTCTTTGATGATCCGACTCTGCTCGGCAAGTTCTGACCGGAGGGCATCCTCTCTTTGCCTAGCCGATGCGCGTTCACTCTCAATGACGGCATGTCTTTCGAGTGAAATCCGATCTAAATAAGCCCTTTGTTCATGAAGTTGTTGATTCTGATGGGCTTGATTCATGTCACTTAGTCGTTGGTTGGCAATAGCCTCATGCTGTTCCCTAGCCTCCTCAATGACCGCCCTAGCTTGGTTGGCCACGACATCCCGATATTGCCTAGCTTCATCGACGAATTGCTGTGATTGCTCTGCCAAAATGGCCTGATGCCTCAGTTCAGCAATTTGAGCTACCTGAGCCGAACGATCTTCGTTGACAAAAAGCGCTTGTTGATGAATCTGCCTAGCGTCAACGTTTTGAGCATTCAACACTGGTGATGGCTCAACATGCGTTGGCGACGGCACGACGACAGTGGACAACAGGTCCCCCTGTGCACTGAACGATGGAGGCTCAATAGGCCTAAGCATGCCCAGCGGAACAACAAGAAGATCAAGTGCCGGCGAACTAGGTCGCCGGTGACGACGGCACATACCCGGATCGGGAACGGTCCTCTCGGGAACATCCATCAGCCATGGTTCCAAGGCAGTGCACTACCTACGGTGGAAGGAACCCTAGCTAGTCAAGCACGTACCGCACTTATGGCGATACGGCTGATAACCTGTAGTTACAGGTAAACGGCCGACACTAACCACCAACCGCACCTGTTTTCCTTGAGCCAAAGTCAGTGGTAATTAGACATGTATATAGTACACCACTGTGAAACAACATCGACGAAACACCATTGAACAAGTACAGTAATTCAGAGTTTATTTGACGGACACTAGTCACAATGATTCAAAAACACTGGTACGAGTATGTGCAATGGCGTAGCCCCCCAAATTCACTGCTATAGGGCTTGTGCCACATCACACAACACCCCAAAAAAATCAAGCTTGAGCCAGAGCAAACACGACTTCTGGTATCCCCCCGAAAATCGACCGCTTCGCCCGAAGCGACCAAAATCATGGCCAACTTGTTCAAAGCAATTGCCCCGAGTGGGAGAAGAATCTTAAGCAATAGCGAGGTACAGCATCGCGGGATGGACTATTGCAGTGTGCATGCCGACCCTGATGCCCAAAGTAGTCACTTGGACGTCGCCCCTGAACACACAAGATCTGCGCTTCACTGCCCCCCTTCAAGTTACTAGTTAGAAAGAAAGTGTGGGAGAAAGTAAAGAAACAAAAGCCAGTATCCAGTTTTACTGCTCCAGTTCTATCAAATTCTATCACGAGCGTGAAAGCGCGGGGTGGGCAGTGGGGAGGCTGTCAGGCTGTCACAAGTTGCAAAATAAGCTACCTGCTTCACAAGTTTGCTCTCCAATCCAAGCAGGACGGCCTTGGCAACATGCAATCACTGTGAGTTCCACGATTACACACACTGTGCGCACCGTTGTGCCAGGTGCGGCGCTGGTACCTTTCCCCCACTTCGGCTTACCGCTGCCTCTGCACACCGCACAGGAAGCATTGTAGTTGTCCCATCCCTGTAGGATCTTTACTGAGTGCTATCTGATTCCACCCTCATCCTAGGCTTCATGTAGAGCCCGTGGAGCAATTTCCGCCCGAGCATGCTGCACCATGATTTCTTTCTCCTTGACGACTGTATGGGAGTTGTTCAATCACTACATATATATATATACTTTCTGTATATATTCCGTTGATATACTATGTACGGGAACATAAGCCTCAGTTAGAATTCATGAGTCTTCTTGGGAAGCCTCGAGCTCTTTCGCCTTCCTCACACGCGCCTGCGGCGAGATATTTCATTTGGCCCAGCCCAGTCAAGGAAAACACCAGCACAGGATTCAATTGCACGAAACAGGCACTGTGAAGATTGTAAGGCACCAGGAGAGCTTATTAAAGGCAAAAAGCACAAGAGGTTCATCATCACGTCAGCACCATCTGTCAACAGAACAGATTCCTAGTCGCAGTGTGTAAATCTATATGTAAGTATATATATATAAGTTAAGGGCATCCCTGCAGCTAACGCAGGGTAGAACAAGTCATTTGGCCTGGATCACTGCAATGGGGTTCTGAACACTGGACATTGTGCCGGCGCTGATGACCTGAAAAAAAGGACAAACAAAGGTCACAAAGCAAGGACACTGTGCCTTGCCCTACATCACATCATCCCAGGTCCGGTGCCCGTCGCTGATCCAAGCCACTCATGCCCCGAAGAACCTGAGAAAACGCCCGTCGACCCAACGCGGCTTCCGCAGCGTTCTGGCCACAGTGCCTTCTCGGCATCATCGGGCAGCCATCGCCTGTTCTGGCCAACGAAGGCCTGAAGTAAATAGCAAAGACAGGGCACATCACATCGATACAGTCTACCGATGTCTACCGTAGTATGCCAAACACTTTAGAGGAAGAGTACCGGAAGAGTCCCCGCAGTCCACGCCTCCAGTTCTTCTGCTGATGCTGGTTTCACCTAAACTCCAAGCCAGCTCAAGATGTGATGATGAGCGACGATGCTATCGGTTTCTAATGATTCCGTCAACTCACCTCCACTTCCATGATGGCCCTGGCCCCTGCCAGCCTGACCAGGAAAACTGCCACTCGACTAGCACATGTCGTCGAAGCACGGATGCACTCTGTTGCATGCTTAATTTGCCTCAGGCCCACACCAGCTTCACAGGCAAGCGCAACAAAAGGCTTCATGAAGCACGGAAACACATGTGGTCTGGAAAGATGCCCGCGAAAAAAATAACGCCTTCTTGATGCTAGATCCGTGCGTGCACATATCAATGAGCGCTGTGTTACCGAAGGTGTTGAGGCGTTAACATGAAAGTAGAGCGTTCATTGCTATATAGCTTTGGCTAGAGGGAGGGCATGTTCGTCTGGGAAAACATTGAAGATGGTCTTCACATATCACCTATGCCTGACTATATGTCTCATTGTCGTATCATTTGCATCACCACGTCCATGAAAGGCAAACTCTCAACCGCCTATGTTCAAAAATATATTTCATGACTGCGTCATGTGCATCAACCAGTTGCAATTCTATAGTTTGTTTTCTGGTATGTGGCATATGCATCAGCTGGTTGCACGTGTGTAGTTTTTTGTACAAAATGCCAGCCAATTAGTTTAACTTGGACCCCCCTGAAAATGTACAATTTCAAGGGTTGCAAAAAGTAGATCCAACAATGCTTGCAAACAATCGGCAAGAGAGTCCAACAAATGGCGCGGCATAATTAAAGAAATTGTAAGAGGATCCAAAAATAGGGTGATTACAAACACTTCTCTCTGTATTGTTCATCCATTTCATGCTGCGTTCATTTCTAAGCTTTGCGGCCATGCACATTGTATAGTGTTTTGCACATGTATGATTACATGATCACTCTATTTTTCGACCCCCTTGAACCGTACATGTTTTAAGGGTGTCGAAAGTATATTCATTTGCAAGCATTGTTGGGTATCCCTGAAAATGTACAATTTCAAGGGGCGAAAAATATATCCAACGATGCTTGCACGTTGCAAGGTCTTTATTTTCTTCATCCACTTCATGCTGCGTTCATCTCTAAGCCTTGCCTCGGTCATGCACATTGTATAGTTTATTGTACATAATCACTATTATGGGACCCCCCTTGAAATTGTACAATTTCAAGGGGGTCAAAAAATAGATCCAACAATGCTTGCAAAATGCAAGTAAGACATATATAACTAAACAATGCATCAAAGTGATCATCAAAGGGTCCAAAAATAGAGTGATTGTAGATACGTGCTTCTTTTACCCTCCCTCTGAGTCTGAGAGCCACTGGTGCGGGTGGTTGTTGTCGCGAAGCGACCTGAATATGAGTTGTGATGTGTGTGATGTGTGTGATGTCTCCCTCTCCCACACTCTCTCTCTCTACATATATATATAGAGAGAGAGATCCGCAATCTCACTTTTCTCATGTTCAATCAGCATCAAGACGATGACTTTGCTCACTAAGAGTTGAGAGTTTAGATTATAGAGTTAGACTTTTGCCATCAGCATCAGTGGCAGATTCTTCTGGCCGCATCACGAAGGATGCAGTAGGTTTGCTTGAGCAACAGTTTGCGCCGACAAACGGCTAGTGGTTGGTTAATCTCTCTGATTGACCTTACGTTGATCATGCAAGGAAACCTCTCTTTCACAGCGGTAGGGCCTTCTTCATTTTTGCCGGAACGATATGTACATACATTGGTTCTATGCCAAGTGACACGTTTGTGTATTGCCTTGCCTGGTTTGACAGGTCAAGACACTTCAATCACGCACCACCGGTCAACACACGTCAACAACAACTTCTTCCAACTCTGCAAGGGATCAGGGACTTCCTCGCCAAGGCTTTAAGCACATGTTGTGCCTATAACACCTTGAAGTAGCGGAGGAACATGTGCAGGGCGTAGGACACGAAAAGCGAAGCCTTGGGTAGCCAAATTCTCAAAGGCAACCATTTATTAGGTTCTGCTTAGGGAAATGTCGAGATCAGATCACAGGCAAGATCCTATGTTCAAACAAGCTGCAAGGGCATACACGAAGCCGAATTTAATGAGACTATTGCTGGCCAGGCCTGACTGAAATCTGCTCAGGAAGACTTCGGAAGTGATGCCTTCACAAAAACACCTTCGAAGAAAGTGCCTTTAAGCTTCTCTTCCACTGCCACAGGGTCAAGAGACCACCTTGGGCACCAGGAAGTGGCCAGAAGAAACGGGAAAAAAGAAACAACCAACCCCAAAACCAACGAGCGATGAAACACACAAAGCGATCTTGCTGCAGGGCAGGTCACATAAAGAAAAGTGGATTCTTCGCAGGAATTCCAGTTGTGGCTGTCCACTCCTTCCATGTCAATGTTAGCAATACACGGCGAGGTTCGAAGCCGTTTGGAGTGGTGATGAGGCAGCATGCTCTAGTCTGGCAGCGTCCTGCACTGCAAGTTGGTACATAGCCTTTGCATCAAGAGATTCCCAAGACTCCAAAACAGGCAATTCTTGATGTTCTCAACTTTCAGGAGCTGCAAGTGGCAAAATCAACTAGGGCATCAGGCTGTATGCGTCTCATCAAGCACTCGGAGGCCAGATCGAGCAAAGGGGTTGGCCCCGTCGTAACACGTGAATCTTGGCACAAAATGAAGTCAAACTCTCTGTCAAAAATTGCGCAAGGCGACAGGTGCCGCCAAATCACCAACAAAGCACGAAAGGGTGGTCTTGGTTTTCACTACCCTTTCAATCTTGGTAGCACGAATCGCTTCCCAAAAGGCCTTCCGGCTAGCAATGTCCGAAAAAAATGATCCTGGCTAAGTCGCGAAGTTCCAGTGGTTCCGCAGCAGTCTGTACCGACTGCCCAGAAGTCCAAGGTACCTCAGATCAGCCCACATCTTCCGACAGTGAAAACTCAAGAAATGAGTTGATGGGAATGGAGACATCCAAAGGCTATCAGCTAATCACAAAGGCAGGAGCTGGCCCAGGCTGCACCAGTAATTGCAAGGCTTTAGCATGTGTCCCGTAGGTACTATATATTGGCGCCACAATGCTGCCCACGCTGCTTATGCGTCAACTACAATGGGAGAAGTTTGCCGGCCGTGCAAGTGTACTTTCCCGTTTTGTAGGCAAGTTGTGGGCGGAATTCCTCAAAGGAGAAGCCACGCCGACAGCACTAAGTCACTAAGGTGAGGGCACACTTTACAAGAGGAGGAGGGCTAGCGGCTAGCAGTGACCAGCCCGGCCGTATTCTGCATCAGTGGCCAAATGTTAGCAGGATAAACATGATTATGAGCCCAAGGGTGTCAAGAAAGGCGTTCAAGCAAGTTGGGTGAGAGTACATGACTATGGCATCTGCATCCAGTTATACAAATATAATATGCAGCTCCGCGCAAGGTACTGGAAAGTTGTTGGCAGCTTGGAATTTGGCAGCTCTGTGGCACTGTGAGTGTCGAACTTTTGGACTGCAATGCACCTGCCTATACAAATCCTCATGCTGCTTTCCACTCTGTCGCCAAATGACTTGAAACTAAGAGATAGTTCAGAAACTAGTCTAAAATTGTCATCAACAAGTGCTCTTGGATTTCTTGATTTACCTCCTACAAGGCTAGTATTACTCTCGTATCGGCATAGACACCACATAGACTTACGTATTTGATAAGAAAACTTGCGAGGCGCACTTGCGCGGTCACTCGGTGTCTCTGGACCCGCCAAATCCCGAATGCAGAATAGGCAGGGCTACGACGTACTAAGGCAATGGAATCAGGGGATGGCTGCAGAATTCGAGGGAAAAAATCGCGATCCTAGCTCGATTCCAGGTAGGGCCTAGTTCCAGGGTTGCTTGGACTGGACCCGGATCCCAAAAGTTGCGAGCACGGCCTGATTCCAGACTTCCGGCGTTGCCGTTCCAGGCAAAAGTTGCATAGTGCTAGGTGCGGGTTTCCCATCCAAGAACTGTTTGGCACCATTTGGGTTCGACCCATCCCGCCACCACCATCCCACGAGTTCACGAAGCACTGATCATTGACTGTAGCTGAGCTCTACGTTTGTCTTCGTATTCTTGTGACAAGTCACCACTGCTTGGGATTAGAAAGCCTGGAGAACATGAGCCCAAGAATTGACACCCAAGCGCGAATGCGACACCAAAGCCACAATCTCCCGCCTGATGAGGTTCTTCTAGAGTTTGTTGCATTGCTGCCTGCTTCCAGCGGCTCAAGGTAAATGGGTGCAATGCCTGGATCAAGGATCAAAAAAATAACTATTTGAAAGGCAAATGAAATGATGAACAAAAACAAGCTACTGCACAGTGCAAATCATGCCGCCAAGGTGCAATAGGTCAGGCCATTTCGAAAGGCGATGGCCTTGGTTCTGTCCACCTTTGAGCTGTCCTGACATGTTAAGCCGAGTTCCTTTCGAATGTGCAAAGTGCCCTCCTGTGTACTGCCTTGAAGTAAATGGCAGCAGCATCCATGAAAGAACCACCTTTGTCCCGGGAAGGATGAACATTCACCTCGGCCATTCAGCGCGAGGTTAGCTTAATTACGAATCCCCGGCCCGGCAAACAAAGTCTCTTCATCTCAGCACGGCGCGTAGCTGGCCATTTGCTGATACTCTTGATACTTTGCCACACCCATCCACCAGTAGTTATTGCCTAGTACCTCATTTCACCCATTCCGCGCCCTTCTGAATGAAAGATTGCATGCATCCACACACAAACATAAGCACAAACACACTGCATATCACGTCCAACTATCCGCGGGCCAAGATCTAGGATGCTTTTGCCGAAGCAGGGGCATGCTGCTGAGTCACAAGGCCCACCAGAATACCGGCCTAAGCGCAAGTCAGTTCAATGTCATAGGCATCAGGGGCCGAAAGTTGTGCTGCTATGGGACCCACAAGCATAAAGCGATCACCAACCAAGCTCTGCAGGTCCTCTGCAGCCTGTATCTGGCCTTGACAGTCGGCAGCACATCTCTTCAGAACACCTTTACCTTGCGCAATTGCTGAGAAAAGCGCCACGCCGATGTAGTTTGCCAGGAATGCCATAATGGCCTGACGGAAGCAGTTTGATGATACTTAGTTAGACTAACATAGGCATCCTTGTCAGTGAGAGCCGGGGCTTCAGTTGACAACCCACAGCTCCTGACACAACAAATTGACTTGGGCGCACACAAGCACCCCCACAATCAACCTGGAGCCAAATGGCCAGTAAGCTCTAGCTAGCTCAATTGTTGTTCCAAGCCAAGGTTGCAGGAGAC